ATAATTACAATACTAAGGTTTTAAGTATTTGCCAATACCCGATATCAACTGATACCAGGGCAGAGACTGAAAACTGCATTTTGTTTCCTTTGAACAAAAATAAAATAAGAAAAAACTGATTAAAATGTGCTATGTATCCCTTATTTTTCTCCAAAGTAACAACAGAACCACTACTGGTAAATGTTTATTGAACATTATGGACCATCACAATATATCGAATTACAAGTCTCTTTGCTTAAATTAAGAGTTATAGTGCAGCAATATACAGAGGGAACTACATAACATAGGCCATGATCCTTTGCTCCATTTCAGTGTAGACTACATGAAGTAATAACATTACTAAGCACTTTTAAGCCTTGGTTCTTTGGATTAAGTCTTGTCAAGGCATTTTAAGAGGAAAAAGTAGCATATTAACAGTTTTGTTAGCCTCCACAAAATATCTCAATAAATATTGTACCATGAGATGTATATTGTGAAAACATTGTACTGAGAGATTTGGATATTGTTACATCCCTAATTGTGAGCCTCACCACCATATCGCAAACTTTCCCACGATATCGCAATAAATATCGTATCGTGAGGTTCATACCATGACGATATCATATTGTGAGTATCCTTACACCCCTCGTAAATAGTCTTATTACATCAATTTATATGTCCAACCAGCCATGTGCGGATATCAGGTACCAGTATCAGATTGGTGCATCAGTAATAGCTACTTAAAATATCACGAAAAATGCATTAAAAATATACAAATGAAAGTTGCTCATTTGACCAGCTCAAATCCTATGGTACTATATACAAACAAAACAAACAAACAAAAAAATTTCCCCACCACTGCAAATAAATTATACACATGATAAATACTGAGAAATATAATACTCCAGCTTTCACATATAGAATGATAAGCAGGCCTACAACACCACACAACCCTGCACACATACTATAGTACACTGTAATGCTAAAGGCTCAATAAGGCTACTTTTTTTCTCAGCGACAGCCCCTGATGTTTTACAGCCTCAGCTTCCAAGCAGGACTTCCTCTCTTTTTGACTCTGCAGGATTTGATTGGGTTACCTGCTGCAGGCCTCTCATATTCCACCATCTGTCTGTTTGAAAACTGCACTGCAACAGATTTGGGCCTCACTGCTTCTGCGCTTTCACCCCAATCAGAGCCAAGTACAGCAAAAAAGAGGACAGAACAAGAACAATGTTATTTCCAGCATTCAATAAAGCTCTATGATTTTTGAAGAGGTCAGCAAAAATTAAAGCTTCCTGTTTTGAAACCCGCGAATACATAGTAAAACACAGATAAATTGTGAATATATTTTTCACTACTGAACTCTGACAAATTTATTGTAATTTCTGCTCACAATACACTCTGAAAATCCAAGCTGTCCTGTAAAGAGCCCATATTACGCCATTTTCTGATATATGTTATAATGTTGTTCCACCTTGTGATGTCATGTGGTAATACAGGAAGTGCTCCACTGTGTTTTAAACTGAAGTTACAGTAAAAGGTAGCTGTTAAAACTACCACTTCATGACATCACAAGATGGAATTGAGCATTTTGAGCTTTGGAGATGTAGACAAACTAATAATGCAGGATTACTCAAATGTGTGAATGAAACAAAACACAACTCCAGGTATGTTTTTGATGAGAGGAACAAGATTCTAACATGGCTTAAAGCTTACAAGAGTCAAATTTGGTAATATAGGATCTTTAATGTATAAAACACATGGACCATTTGATTGTTACTTTCTACATTTTCCTCAATCAATCACAAAGAATGACAAAACTTTAGTATGATGGAGATGTCGCTGCTCAATTATCAGGTTGTATTTTGACAGATGATTTGGATTCTGTATCCCTCTCATATGAAGTTCATTTGAGCTGGACTATGCAGGGACAGGAGCCAAGAAAACCAGGAAAAGACACAGTGGGCCCCATATGTGAGCAAGCCTGACTTCTTAACCATTCTGCTTTTCTTCAAATCTTTCACTGGCTTTTCAAACTCAAACTCATAGTTCTTCAGTATTTAACAATCCAAAAATAAATACATAAAAAAGGTTGTTAAAGGTCCTATATTACGCAAAATTGACTCCTGTGAGCTTCAAGCCATGTTAGATTGTCATTACCACCTCAGAAACATACTTGGCGTTATTTGGAGGATTACTCAAACATGTGTGAATGAAACACATACAGTTTGTCTCTGTCCCCAAAGCCTAAAATGCTCTGTTCGACCTTGTAACGTCATGAAGAGGTAGTTTTCAGCTGCCTTTTACCTTTTTCAGTACAGATTGAGAACTCCAGGGCTGAAATTACCCAAATGATTCATATGAAGATGTATGGAGTTTTAAAACAGAGTGAAGCACTTCCAGTATACCACAGGATGTCACAGAGTGTTTTCTGCTTGAGAGAAGAACGCCGCATAAATATGCAGCATTTGTGCGTTAAACATTTGTGAATGAAACAAAACACAACTCCAGGTATGTTTGTGATGAGTGTTACGACCCAGCTCGTTTGGGGTGAGGGAAGTAACAAGAATAAAACCAAGATGTAAAATGGAATAAATTAAGTAATGTTTAATTAACAGGAATGTAAAGGTAAATTAACAAAACACTAAAAATATACAGAAAACAACCTAAACTAAGAAACAGAACAACAGAATAAACAGAGTTTTGTGCCAGAAAAGGGGTCACGCAGGCTTACACAAAAACAAGTGGTAAAACTTAGGGACACACACTAAACTAAAACACAAGTTCCCCAAATTAAACCACATAAGCCCATTATAACACAGATCAGAAAACAGCGTAATATGGGACTTTAAAATGAAAAAAAACTTTACACCCCAAATCTATGACAGTACAATCACTATACACCACAGTGTGTGGATCTATAGACCATTATCTAACACTGTACGCTTCAAAACGTCAATGCAGCTCCAGTGGAAGGCACATGTTTCAAAGTGACACGGCCAAAAGCATCCGGCTCTGTGCACTTCCCTCTCTCACCTCATTCATTCACACAAACGGACACTGTGCAGTGAATCAAACCAAATATGTTTGTGATTCCAAACCACAGGATACATCCAGTCACAGCCCTTCAAGGATGCAGTGTCAGCACATTTTTGGACACTTTTATAACCAAGAATTTGAATATTTTTTCAGGAAATGAAAAAAAAAAAAAAAAAAAAGAAATGTGATATGTAGTGAAAATACAGCATGTGGAAGGCATTTTGTTCATCAGAGCTAAATAAACAACTATAGTTCAATCAAAACCAAGCCAGCTGAAGATTCAAAAAAGATCAAGGGGATAAACAAATAATTAGTTGCTTTATAAACGGATAAATTAGAAAAATAAAAACATCACAGTTGCAAATTGGTAAAACAAACATCCATCATACTTATCAAAACAATAAAAATGTGTTTTTTTCTTAAACAGAAGACATAACAATGAATAATAATTCATAAATGCACAATGCACTCTGTCTATTTTTTTTAAAGGTAGGTCAAATACAGAAGCAAATAACTAAACTTCCCCACAGAAATAACAAAGTATTAGGTCTGCCACGATAACAAATGTTGAAGTATGATATGTTGCTGATTTAAATATAGATGATAAATGATAATGTTGAAACTAAACCAAGAGCAGATTTAAACCACAAAAACTATTCTAAATGTACAATATTGTTAAAAAATCAGGATCTGCAATAAATAAATAGCTGAAAGAAACACTTTAGTACTTAGTTGCATCTGTAATGAGCCACAGAAGTTGTAAATTCAACCTTTTACGGCTCAAATCATATTGTATAGCCAAAAAATAACCAAAGATTTCCCAGTAGTGTAAAGAAAATGTACACACAATAAATACTGATCGCAAAAAAAATATTGTTCCATCTGTCATGTTTTGAACAAGAAGTCAGTATAGTAATTATCGTGACCTACAAAGTATAGTAAACCTGTATAGCAGAGGTTGGGACTTGGACTCGAGTCAGACTTGAGTCACTATTTTTAGGACTTAAGTCCTGGCTTGATAAAATGGACTAAGACTTGGGACTCGACTTGCACTTGAAGGTCAGTGACTTGGGACTTGACTCAGACTTGAGCCCTGTGACTTTAGAAAACTTGAGTAGCACTTTTAAATCTGTATTCTTTCTATTCTGACCATAATGATTCACTCTCAGATCTTGTCAAGACATTTAAAGGAAAAATGTGCATTTCTACAACTCTTATATAATATAAATACTCATATATAAATATACTATGATTTTATAAGTACAATTTATCCTAAAACTCATATAAATTGCAAAACTCTAAGCTATATACTTTGGTATACTTTTTGGTATGTACTTTGACTTAAAGACTTGAAATGACATGAAGCTCAAAGCAGACGACTTGGACTTTACTCGGACTTATGGGCCAGTGACTTTGACTTGGGACTTAACTCGGGCTTGAGGTCAAAGACTTGAGACTTACTTGAGACTTGCAAAACGACGACTTGGCCCTACCTCTGCTATATAGTAAAAATAAGTATGTGTTTGGCCATGACAGAGCTGGATCATTGCATCCCTACACAGCGTCCAAGTATTTCTGAACTACCCTAAATCTGTATTACCCATGAATGAACACAACCAAGACAGATAAAGTATTTGAAGTATACCTTAAGGTACAGTAAACTTGTATAGTAAAATGAGGGTATGTGTTTAGCCATGACTCAGGCAGGTCTCCATACTCCCCCTCGGTCCTTCACAGATGTTACACACAGGTGCTGTTTAACATGTCAGCGTGTCACGGTGAGCAGCTGAGTGCGCTGGATGCCTCACACGCTTTGAACCTGCTCTGACCACTCACAGACAGCACAGAGGAAAACAGTCCTGTGAGGTGTGAGGGGGGCGTATGTACTGTAGAGACAGGTGTGCCTTTAAAACCTACACAAGACTGTCTTGCACCCGTTCTTTTTCAAGTCCTCACTCAGGGTCACATGTTTGGACACTCACCTACAACCATTAGCGTGAACTCGAACCCCCTCTTCACGGACTTCCGGTACACCTGGTTGGGGAGGTTAGCGAAGCCCACATAGCCCTCCAGGTTCCGTTGCTAAAGGGAAAAGAAACATAGCAGTTATAAACATGTTTTAGACAGCTTCAGTAAATGTTAACTTTGAACTACTACTGCTCAGTAAAATCATTAAAAAAAAAAAACAGCATATTTTTTAAGCTCATAAGTTATTAAAAGTATGAGGAAATACAGATGGTTCTTAAGATAAAAATCCTTAAGAACATTCCAGAAAGCTGTTTCAGTTCAAGGTTATGCCCTTCTGTTCCACAATATGGTATTAAACTTGTCTATCTCCATGGAAACAAGCAGGAAACAAAACTAGATCAAGTTACAGCTCAGATCTGTGGAGGCAAGCATGCTATAGTAAAAATGCATTTTTCAAGGTATTTTTGAGCAAAAGAAACTGCAGTTGCTGAAAAAAAAGAAAAAAAAAAGCTAGATAGATCAAATGCCATACTGTGGGATATTCCAAGTAAAACATCCCCATGGAGACAAGCAGATGTTGGACCCCACACCAGAAAAGTTAAATCGTGCAACCTTAAATGTTTCACTCCATCCACAGAAAAGTTTCTTTGTTAGTAAAGTTTACAGATTTCTCCAGACAACAGAAAGGATTGTTGCATATTTTTTGCCTTTTAAAAAAACAGCAATTAGCATTTTTGAGTCTTGCAGCAACAAAATACTTTGAAGTGAAGTCCAGCTGAAAGAAGAGGGAGAGAGTCAATTTTAAAGAGGCGACAAAGGCAGAAATAACAGGCTCTCCCGAACAGGAAGTATGGTCCATAGGCGAGCAAAGACCTAAAAAAACACTGAAGACAAACTCAACAAATAATGGTGAAATTTGCAGAAATGGCCAAATTTGTGCAAACTTTAACTTATAGTCTACTGAGTACGGAAGTAGTGCAGTGCCTTTAAACACTAATGAAACAGATATTGAGGGGAAACTGAGCATTAAGATCCACTCACACCCGAGAAGCGCATTTAAAAGAATATTGTGAACAGAAGTACAAACGCTGAAGATTACAAGGTTTGCCATGAGCAATGCTGAAAATATTTTAGGCTATAATAATTGTGTTGGTTGTTTGAGACATTTAAAGAAGGAAAATACAGAACTGATGGAAAAAATTATACATAAATAATATCAACTGCATGAACAGGGTCAAAGATTAAAGGTGCTATATTACGTAAAATTGACTCTTGTGAGCTTTCAGACACATTACCTCATCAAAAGCATACCGGGAGTTGTGTTTAGCTTCAGTTGGACATGTTTGAGTAATACTTCATAATTAGTTTGTCTACATCTTAAATGTTCAAAAGGCTTTGTTCCACCTTGTGATGCCATGTTATGATAGTTTACAAGTTAACTGCTATGTTAACCAAATACCTGGGCTGAAATAATCCAAATGATTCTATTGATGGTGTATGGAGTTTAAAACACAGTGGAGAACATCCTACCATATGACATCATGAGGTGGAAAATAGCATTTTCTGTTTGAGACAAAAACTAATCCTAAATATGTAGGATTTGTGTGTTAAATATGTGTGAATGAAACAATACACAACTCTAGGTATGTTTCTGAGGAGGAAACAACATTAATACAGATCAGAAAACATCGTAATATGTGCCCTTTAAAAGCAGCCATTAGCAGAAATAGAATATGCTGCCATTGTATCTGTTGGGGGATGAGGACTCACGCCACAGCGGCCATGTGACCCTCCCCCAGCAGCACAGAGGAGACAGTGGAAGCCTGGTTCACTGACATCATCCTTATTAAGTCCACCCCTCATGTGTATTCAGCTGATCAGAGCCCTCCACTCTTTCTGTTACTCACAATTTAATAAAGATATATATATATATATATATATATATATAAAAACACAATACAATGTTCATATCAGTCATAGAGGGAATAGAAATACAGTAGAACTCATGAATCTACTAAGCCTATTTCTATAAAGATGGCCTACCCTGACAAGCCTTTCACATTTCAAACTATTTGATAACTTCGTAATAACAGTTTTATTATTGAATGCATCAAAACAGAGTAAATGATGAAGTTCCTTAAACAAAATGCATTTAGGCTTAAGGGCTGACAGTTTGATATATTGTAAAACTTTGCAATAAAAATAAATTATGTCACTCAGATTCACTCAAAATAATCACTATTATCACCATCACTGTTAGGCTGCAAACACAAGTAGAATGTTTTGCCTCTAGATTTGTGAATTTTACATTTTTCTTTGCTCGAACTGCTGTATTTTTAGTATGTTGTGTTTTACTCCCACTGCTCCTCTGGCATGTCAGTGAGGGCTTGTGTCCACCCACTTGGTACAATGCCAAAGAGAGCTTCAGCCCACATCATTACACTGCATCACAAATGTGCATGACAATGGATGCTATGTTATGAGTGGGATGGCTGGTTGTAGCTTATTTAACACAATACATATGACCGCCAGGACCAGGATGCACCGATACCAATACAGTATTGAATATCATGGTGATACTGAATATTTTGTTGGTTCTGTTGGTCAATATCCTGGTTGAGCCTTTACTTGGATGTGATAAGACTATTTACAGGCTGATTTTGGCCTAGAACATCATAATATTGAACTTTTATTCATACAAAGCTGTTTAGTGATTTGAAGAATAAACAGCAGTTACATAACACAGCTGGATCCCTTGTGTAATAAGTTAACTGTGTTTTAAGTAAATAAATGCCATTTTCCGTCCCTACACTGGTATCTGGTTAAAACCGGATATCAGCATACTACATCGATACTTAAAGCCAAAGTAATTTACATAATCATTGTTTCCCATGCATCTAAAAAGTACTAAAGCTATAAACATTTTTGTATTTTTATTTAGTTTAGTGACAAAATATCACACTCTGAAATGAAAAGCTCCAATCCCAAAGACACCCTGAGAAGTCAAACTGTGTTACTTAAAAAAAACCAAACAAACAAAAAAAAAAAACAGCCAACATATAGTGGAGGTGGCATTGCTGTGAATCCAACACTGCTCTATATGAATCGTCAGCCTGGAGCTTCAAACTTGCATTGTTCTGCTGATGGAACCATTTTGGCTCCAGTTTCTGCCTGGGACTTTCCAGAGACAAGATCACTATTATTAGGAGTTTGACGAGAAAATGTCTAGATTGGTATAGAGATGCTCAGAGTTTAATTGGGGTCGTAACTTCCAAAAATGTGAGTTCTATTAAAAGGTCTCATGCGATGCTGGTTTGTTTTGCATTACAGAGATAATTGGACTTTTATGTGTAGTAGCAGAAGAATTTTAATTTGAGCCTGATGCATTATTTCAAAGTATAAACATGTGATTTGCTGCATGTAAGATTAATCAGCTATAAGTGCCCTTTGAGTTGCACAGAAAACCATTGTATTCAGAACTCTAACCATATGTTTTCCATACATTTGATCAGGCTCAGCTTTTGCCAAGTTTGTCTAGAAAGTGTACATAATTTTGAATGGAATTTGGCCTTGAGTGAAGAAATTCCAGTTGAATGCCTCCTTCTGATACAGATGTTACACTCTACCACTGTCAGGTTGTAACTCAAGGTGAACTATGCAACTGTCATCATAAAACAAGAGCACTGCCATGTCTGGAACACTGTGCTATGAAGTTTGTGTTGGAAAGAGTAGAAACACAAACAGGAAAATAGCACAGCGAACTACTATAGGCCTACTGTATATATAGCCTACTGTATATATATATATATATATAATATATATATATATATATAGGCAAGGCAAGTTTATTTTATAGCACAATTCGTACACAAAGTAATTCAAAGTGCTTTACAGAATAAGAAATACATTAAAATCATAATAAAAACAAATCAAAACATAAATATCATGAAGATTAAAATTAAAAAAGAGAGACATAATTGGAGAGAAGAGTGCGGAATGAAATATATATATATATATATATATATATATATATATATATATATATATATATATATATATATATATTTTTTTTTTTTTAATAAAGGTCTATTAAAGGGCCCATATTGTGTTATTTTCAGATCCAGTATGTTATAATGTTGTTTCCTCATCAAAAACATAGCTGGAGCTGTGTTTTGTTTCATTCACACATGTTTAAACACACAAATCCTGCATATTTAGGCTGTTCTTTCAAACAGAAAACACTCTGTTCCACCTTGTGATGTCAAGCTGTAAAACAGGAAGTGCTCTACCATATTTTTAAACTACTTACACCTTCACTAGAATCATTTGGATGATCTCAGTCCTGGAACTGTAATCTCTACTGAGCAAAAAGGTAAAAGGTACATTGAAAACTACTGCTTCATGACATTGCCAGGAGATGTAGACAGACTAATAATAAAGAGTTACTCAAAGATGCATGAACGAAACAAAATATAACTCCATGTTTTTGAGGAGGCAGTAATATTATAATGTGGCTCAAAACTCACAGTTCTTACCTTGATCTGCTATATCTTATTATTTTGTCATCAACACAATACTAGCCTACATTTTGTGGAATGCACAGCACTCACAGTAGACTAATACTTCAAATTAATGCAATAAAGGCCAAAAGCTATCCTTCAAAATCGTCTAAATATAGGCCAATAGTTCGTTTCTCAACTATTAGCCCACTTTTGGCACTTTGGTCCTTCCATGTTACGCCCCTGTGCACGTATGCCATGTTTTGACGCTGTAATAGAGCTTTTTATTATCGTTACTTTGATTAATTTACCTTTTTGTAGTATTGACATCTCTATAAAGTATAATTACTCGCGGATCTGACAGTAATGGACCCTGATAGGCTGCTTCATATCTTACTACTACGTCGATCAAGTAACCACAGAATAACGCAAGCACGAAGCACTATCTGTAGTAGCCTGTGTAAAGATCCAGATCTTTTTGTGGCCTTTTCCTGGGTGATTAAAAAAACATGTCATATCAGTGTGTTTAATAGAAGAATGGACTTACAGCGATGCTCGGAACCGCAGTCTCTGGTCGCTCGATCATTTCGTTACTGTCACCACCACCACCCAGATCAGTCACTCGGGCATACAGCGACAAACGGCCCAGACACGACCACCGCAGCGGGACACCTCTCTCCTCTGCGGCCCCGAACCCTAGTCCTGTGAGAACAAAGCGATACGGAGTGTGTCCAGGGCAGAATGAATGGGCATAGATTACATATGGCCGCTGGCTGATTCTACTACCAGATGTAGCGCAGGAAAAAAAAGAGCTTCGACGACTATTTGTTTCCAGGATCAAAGGCAGAAAAAATCAGACAGTGTGAAATCCGGTTGGAGATTTTCACAATAAGATGTTGTAAAAACCCTCTAAATCTTGGCCTAACAACAAATAGTGCATCATCATTCCAAATAAGACGAATCCGTCTAATGGTAATGCGTGCGTAAAAAGAAATGTAGGCCTGCGTGCGTAATAAGATCTGTAGCAATCATCTACCCTAAATCATGAGACTTCAGTCAGTAAGCTACTATTATTAGCTACTGGTAAGCTACTACTAGACCTAGGCTATATAGGCCATTTCCAAATTATTATTTTGTAATTTTTACCCAACGTTTCCGGTCCATTTGTTTTACACAAGGTGAGCTTTACGCATCAGAAAAATCTCTGGTCGCCGCCTCCTCATTGGTCAGATGTGGCCCATGAACGCGGAGGCGATGACTGACCTCCTCCAAAACAGGGCTGTGGTGTGACCAGCACTGTGAATAGGACACTGCTCAGGGGCTAGGCATTTCGTTTAATAAAGCTATACAGAGATAAATAGTTTTGACACATAGACATCAATTGATTGTGTCGTGTGGTAGCTTTTTTCCTTACAAGATGTACGATATAAATGGCTCTTTGAGAAATATTTTTAACCACTGAAACAATTGTCCAGCCCTTGTTCCATAAACAGAAAATATCCTTATTCTCTTTAATGAAAAACGCATAGACAACCATTGCTTGAAAACACAGTTTATCTCCAATAAAATACAAAAAAATGAATAGATGTTCAGTTTTTGTGGATACATTGTAAAAACAGTGAGTGACATGGAAAAGTCTATGAAGTATTCAGAATTATTGATTTGGGTTAGAGCTTATGCGCTGTTTTGGTGGCGCCACGTGGAAAAAAGGTGGCATTACACATTCTTAACACATTCATAACTTAAGAACCATCTCGCAGTGTTCAGTTAGCTCCATAAAATAAAAAGGAAAAAAGATTATAAATAACCAGATTGTTGCACATGAACAAACATATGCATGTAGACATATCCCAATCAAAATGGAATTATATATTATTATTATACTCCATTGAGAGTTACAAACCATATTTCATATAAAAATATTTTGCTGCCAAATAAAATACTTGAACTAAATAAAAAATTAAAAACACACATGAAATACTAATAAAAATACAGTGGGGGACTGCACAAATGTTGTAATATAAAATATAAAAATAGCTTGCCAGTCAAAGAAACACAATTAGAGGAAATTTGTTTGGCACATTTTTGTCCCCATCCTTATAGAACACAGTGGTTGCAGTGGATCATGCAGAGGAATTGGTTCTGGAGTCGATGCGGCGCATGAGCTCTTGGACCCAGGACTCGGAGGGCTTTGCGCACATAAAGCCGTTCTTCATCTTCAGCCTGGATATACAACAGTGGAGTTAAACTATAGCTTTAATATGCTGTGTTTTAAAGGTCTTATATTACACAAAATAAACCATGTTATAATGTTGTTAACTCATCAGAAACATACCTAAAGTTGTGTTTTGTTTTATTCAGTTCAAGTAACCCTTTACTATTAGTCTGTCTACATCTCCAAAGCTCAAAATGCTCTGCTCCACCATGTAATGTCATGAAGTGGTAGTTTTCAAGTTTACAGCTACATTTTGTTTAGTAGAGGTAGGCAATTCTAGGGATGAAATTATTTAAATGATTCTAGTGAAGGTATTTGGAGTTTTAAAACACAGTGGAGCACTTCCTGTATTACCCTGTATTGACATAACGAGGTAGAACAGAGTGTTTTCTGTTTGAGAGAAAAATGCAGCCTAAATATGCAGTGTTTGTCTCTTAAACATGTGATTGAAATAAAACACAACTCTGTGTATGTTTTTGATGAGGGACCAACACTATTACATAGATCAGAAAATAGAGTAAGAAGATGGTACTTACAGCACACCAGCAATGGGGCACTGCTGATGAGTCAACATATATCCCCTCACTTTGCTCTCCTGAACAGGTTTAGTGAATTTGAAGCAGCATTTCTTTGGGCCAGTGCCACGCAGAGCTACAAAAAATAAGAAATTTATTTATTTATTACAAATAATTAGAATACAAAATAAACAGAAATACAGTCCAAGGTGAAGTACTATTAATGACTGAGTGTGTGCTATGGGCATTTTTCTGTTTGAAGTTGTGTATCTCTCATTTATTTTATTATTTTGTTTTCTGTAAATATTTTCATGCAGTTGAATTGCTTACTGCCTGAGTTTATACAAATGGAGTGACATTGTAAGAAATAAGCCTATGCATGAAACTAATTTTAAAAGGCCTTCTGCTCTACTTTGTGATGTCATGTGATAATGCAGGAAGTGCGCCACTGTGATTTAATCAGAATCATTTTGATCATTTCAGATGTGGAATTGCCAGTCTCTATTGAACTAAAGTTAAAAGGTTGCTGTCAACTTGAAAACTACTGCTTCATGAGATCACAAGCTGGAGCAGAACATTCTGAGCTTTGGAGACAGACAGACTAATAATGCCAGATTACTCAAACATGTGTGAATGAAACTAAACACAATTCCAGGTATGTTTTTGGTGAGGTAACAACATTCTTAAATCTCACAAGAGTCAGATGTATGTAATATAGGACCTAATTAAATACATATTTTTTTCTTCCTTTTTGGAAAAATCTTTCAGCATTATTTGCTATATTTGGTAAAGTAGGTCTGAAATTGACTATCCTAGTTAACAGAGATATCATCAATATGAATACAATATCTTTTCTGCTACTAACTGATAATCAGAATCACTTTTAGCTGTTCAAATAAAGGCATTTTTATGTATCTAAACTGTAGTAAAGTTTACCTTGACTTAGACTGATGCTGGCGATCACCAGAACGAGCACGAACAGGCTGAGACGAGTGGTCATGGTGACGATCTGAAGTGTTCTTTAATCTGAGAGTTTGTGAGGAGCTGGTCACTTGATTAACTCTGCCACCTCTGTGTCCTCTTCTCTCATTTATACAGCTGTGTGGGTTGCGGGGAGAAACCCACGAGTTTAGGGACTCTACCATTTTGCCTGCTGTCCTTTCACATGTACTCTCCACTCTTCACTATTAATCAGAAGTTCCTCAAATAAAAGGACACTGACAGAGTAACATGATGATGTGTTGTTCAGCTATGAGGAAGTACTTAAGGTGTACTTTCCTCCTGTACTTAACTTGTCCGTAGAGTTATTATAGAGTTTACGGTACTTTCTGTTACACCTATCCTTGTTCAAACAGACTGATAATTCATGTTTGAGAATACAGAGAGAAACATGTATGAAATGTACATAGGAATATTACCAAAGTTTTTAATAGCATAATATTGAAATTATACTCACTGATTAAATGAATAACGTTAATGTGGTCTGGGTTTGGTCAAATTTGACCATGGTGACCTCAGTTACATCAGATAGTGTGGTTAGGTGAGAGATTTTCAGAAGGAAGTTGTTATAGTTGTTTACTTTAAGAGATGGGAACTACAGACTTCTATTGTTTTGTCAGCTTTTCTTATCTAGTGTCAGTATTTTCCAGAAGATAAGGTTTTATTTTTTGTTGTGACAAGTAAAATAGCTCTATTGATGAGTTTGGGTGCACTGGTGGTTTCAGATTCTGATGTTGTCATTTTCCCAGGTGGGGGGCAAAAGACAGTTTTCTGTATTGATTACATGTGTTTTCATAAGAAATGTAGAGTAAGGTAGGTCACAAAGTTCACAAACTTGGTAATTTATATTGACTAGACACCCAAACTCATTATATCAAAACAAGCAGCATTTTCACATTAATAATGTTATTAGCTGCCCCCAACTGATCAATAGAATACTGTGGTATCACCTGAAACCAGTGGTGGGCTGTCAGGGCCTGCAAGACCTTCTCTGCTTCTCCTTCTAAAAAAGGTCTAAATCAGGACTAAACCAAGACTAATCTTGGACTTAACCTTCATCTCAGCTGCATTTCAGACAATGGGTTATACATGAGTTATAATGGGTTATAATTAGCAAATCCATCCACGTCACGGTGACGTTAAACTTACCGGTAAATACTGTAAACATACCAAGATGTTGCCTGTTAACACGAACATTAATTGATGCTGGAAGCTGCATTAAACTGTAATGTGTAACATTTCATTGGCTGTGACGTCTGTAACCAGGACAGTCTGGTAGTGTTTGGTGTAAACTGGGACATTTCAGCGTCCCGAGGAACTTTTGGTTGCATTTCATGCGAGAAATGCAGCTGAAATGAAGACTGACTGATGCTCGCTGTGGCTGTAGTCCTGAATGTTTTAATCTAAACATACAGAGAACCTGATATTTGCTAATTATCCCTGGGATAATGTTACGTCGGATGTTAGCCAACTGGCTACCACTATGTTATCTAACATATAGGTGCAATTTCCCGTTCAAAGGAGGTGTTTCTACACAATATTATACAGCAGCGTTCGGTTCCCAAATTCAAGACATTTTTACAATAGATTTTAATTAACCCACTTGTTGGTCGCTGTTGTAGCTCCTTGTGCTATTACTCTGTTTTTACCCTCTGCTACAAACTTGAGCATGCGCAGTCTTGATCTTGATCGATGTTTCTTCTGCTCGATGAACAATGTCTGTGAAGTGATGACGTATTTTTGACAGTAAAGTTCCGTCTGTGAATTCTTATTCGTACTGATGAAAGCGTAATCGTAAATTTTCATTTTGTGATTGTAATTCATGACGTCGTAATTTTTCAATTCGTATTCTGATGGATAAAATACACACAATATATTTTATGTACGACTGGAGTCATTTGAGAGTTTACAAATATTTATTTTATGCGCAACTACAGCCAAATATGCACGGATTTCCCAAATACGCACGGATTTCTATTTTATGTGCACAAATATTTTTGACAGCTTTCTTACTCCATACTCCATACAAACGGCACTGCATTAGTTCTGGTTTAGTCCTGGTTTAGCACTCTAGCGCTCCTCAATTCTTCTCTGTGCACCGCGCACCCCCCTCTCCTTACTTCTCCGTGCTGTATTTCTGTATTTCTGTCTTAAAAGATGCTTTTATAACCATAAAATAGTTACTGAGGAGTGGACTGTTTCAGACGGAGCACTACAGAAGGCCTAGGTGTAAAACGCACGGTCTGTCACTGCCTGAAACTCTGCAATAGTTTTAGTTTATTAAAAAAATAAACTCTTTTGCATTTATGTGACTAATAGAGGCCCAAAGCTTGCAAGGGATTTTAGTATCTATCAAATCTGTCAATCAAGCTTACCACAAACCACTGTGGAGTGAATGAATAATGCTCTGTGAAGAGCCTATACACATCCCTTTCTTCTTCCTTAAAAAGCCCATGCTGTATATTGTTGAGGGAAGTGGTTTGTTGTTGGAAAACTACAGAAACAGACAGACGTGGCAAACCTCTCAGTCCATTAGAATCCATGTTTAGACATAATTCTGCCTGGCAGCATTTTTTATGTAAAAAAAAAAATTTGCACATTTGAAATAATGTTGTGTGTGCAAAATAGAATTGCTAATTCAGCGCACTCAAAGCCCCATCTCCTGTCTCCAGAAACTTTTTTTTTTTTTTTAAATAAAACAAGTGAAAAATAAGAACCAGTGTGTGATGTCACTACTAGTGCTGTCATGCGATTAAAACAATTGAGAGATTAATTAATTATGATCTGTAATTAATTAATCTAATTAATCTCATTTTAATCTCACCTAAAAATTGCTGAGAAAAGCCTTCAATTTGAGGTATTTTCATTTAAATTCATTATTACATTATTGTGGCAGATCAAAAGACTGATATAGATTTTTAAAAAAAAAAGTGACTTTATAAAGTCATTTATTGTTTAACAAATCTCTCCAAATTGGCTGTTGAGCCCAAGTCTCCATAAATAAGAAACTGTTTGCTGTAAAGTAGCAAAGACTAGAAAATCTGAACATAATAATTTTTGTCTACTTAAAGACAATAAAAAGTCCAGTCTTTCCTTAACCATATTAAAAATATTATTGATAGAGAAATGCTTTATATATGAGATCACTGGTTTTAGTCCTGGTTTAGACCTGCTTTAGTCCTACTTTAGTCCTAGTTTAGTCCTGGAATGGATTAATCCTGGTTTTAGTCCTGGTGTTAGTTCTGGAGTAGTCCTGGTTTAGACCTGGTTTTAGTTCTGGTTTTAGTTCTGGTTTAGTCCTGGTTTAGTCCTGGTTTAGACCTGGTTTAGACCTGGTTTTAGTTCTGGTTTTAGTCCTGGTTTAGACCTGGTTTAGACCTGGTTTTAGTTCTGGTTTTAGTCCTGGTTTAGACCTGGTTTTAGTTCTGGTTTAGTCCTGGTTTAGACCTGGTTTAGACCTGGTTTTAGTTCTGGTTTTAGTCCTGGTTTAGACCTGGTTTAGTCCTGGTTTAGTCCTGGACTGGATAGTCCTGGTTTTAGTCTTGGTGTTAGTTCTGGTTTAGAGGCGCACAGGAGGAAGCGCGGTTTATGCCGCGTACGCGAGAAAACACGATCCACACGCGGCTCACGGGAGCACGTCGGTGTCCGTGCAGTAACTACGGAAGGAAACGTGGTCCGCGCGTTCTCAGGTTAATGACTATGATGAAGGTGTGTGTTTGTGTGTGTTTGTGTGTGTGTGTGTGTGTGTGTGTTTGTGTGCGTGTCCCCTCATGTGGCAGGTCACTGTAGGACAGTAGTGCAGACATCATGAGTCTATGCAGGTTGTTTTTTCACCAGTGACATTTAAGTTGTAGGCGATTTTATATTTGTTATTTTCTTTTATATTTCACGTCGGGAGAATAATTTCCAACACACGAATGTGTTTTTACCTGTGCACTGCTGCCTCTGTTCTACTGGCTCTTCAACCTCGTCCATTGTGCGACTGACGCCGCCAACGTTAACATGACGTTTACATCGCTCTTACTGCGCGCGTTTTGTGTGGGTTTCCGGCAATGAGTGGAATTACCGAAATAAAAAAAAAAATGTATAAATGTGTTTTGTGTGTGTGTGTGTGTTGTTGTCCCAACACTAAAAACCAACTAAAAACAGGCTTTATAATAAAGCAACTCGCATACAGAAACAGTAAAGTTAGAGATTAAAAATGAGATTAACGCGATTAAAAAACATAACGCACTAAATATGACTGTAATTAATTAATCGCAATTAACGCGATAATTTGACACCCCTAGTCACTACTGCTGTAGCAATGAATTGCCCTTCTTTTTAACCCCAAGTTTTGGTATTGTATTTGTTACATAATGCTGTTGGACTTGGTATAAGTCAACAACATCAATACCTTTCTCTGAATAGAATCCTTCTTTGTCATTAGTTGTAATTTTGTTAGTCAAAATGGCCTAACATTTTTGGACTTTGCATAAAACAGTCCAGGAGCCAGACCCCTTCACAGCAATTATTTTGCTAATTTTTCTTACGATGATTTTACAGTAGTGCACACCTCAGTATATTACGAGTTTGGGGTCTTTTGTTTCAACTCTGCCCCATTTGTGGGGCCCATGTGTGAAATGACATGAGTCTGTTAAACCTGTTGCTATAATCACACACAGTGTCACACAGTCATGAAATTTGGAACACAGAATCCTGACACGATGAGGAATGCAACAATATAACTTTACAGGGGTTTGTGCATTTCTGTTTACAGTTATTGGGCTATTTATAGAAATAAATATTAGAACTGACTAACTAACTGACTGTGATAGATCAGCAAGGAATTGCAGTTTCATATGTAAATAGAAATCTTCCCCAATTTTTCAGCTTCAAATTAAGCCCAGCTCTGTGTCTCCAGTGAATCATGTGCTATAACAGAGATGTTCCTCCTAACCCACCCAGAATTCTCGGTTATTTGGCCAAGAATTCATATGGGGCCATTCCTTGGTAAACTAGCAGATTTCAGGATGAACTTAAGTTTCATGGATTTCATTCAAATTTGGATATTAATATTTATATAGGAAATATAATCTAAGTAAAATTTGAGTCTTGTATCTTTTAAATTTTTTTAGTTTGGGGGTTCTAAAGGGGAGTTGGTCAAAATCAGAACTATCAGAAAATAACTTCCCTTTGTCATAGACTTTGGACTGTTTGTGGCAGGTTATTATATTTTATTCCAACTTTTTATACTTTTTTTTTACACAATGTTAAATATTTTTTAGACAATCTGCTATAAATCTGTAAGATAGGGTCAGTGTAAGATGAGTTTAAAGCAATATCAGTGTAACTATGAGACATGAACAGTGACATAATTATATTCCAACTGAACTGTAACAGTGAGCTCATTTTGAGCTTAATTTGAAGCTGATAAATTGGGGAAGTTTTCTATTTACACCTGAAACTGTAATTCTGTGCTATGCTACAGTCAGTTAGTTTGTGGAGAGGATTTATGCTTGAGAAGGCAATTTTTTGATATTTATTTCTATAAATAGTTCAATAACTGTAAACAGAAATGCATAAACCCCTGTAAAGTTATATTGTTGTATTCCTCATTATGTGTGATTATAACAGCACTTTTAACAGACTTATATCATTCCACACAAGATAGGTCCCACAAAAAGGGATTTTGAGGTCCTGACACCGGATGGGGCCGAGTTGAAACAAAAGACCCCAAACTCGTAATGTCCTGAGGTGGCACTAATAAAAAAATCATAGTAAGAAAAAGGTAGCAAAATAATTGCGGTGGAGGGGTCTGGCTCCTGGACTAAACATAAAAGTTATGCTGCATGATTTGTTAAGTTTTCCTCTTTTTCCATTAGACTGTACAGAAAAACACAAGGACCAGACCAGTAATCCTTGTGGTAATAGAAACATACAAATAGTCATGATTCTGTCATATCATGAGATAAAGTCTGTGCCCTTTTATGTCTAAGAGCACGCTGAAGTTAGTTTCATGAGATGAAGTCCCACACATGCAAAAAGCAGAAGAAATAATACAAATACAGTTTCATATATATTCATTTCCTGTGGTATTTGAAGGGATATTTTTACTGGTGCCCTAGAAGTTTTTCTAGAACTTACTCACTGACTGAAAGACCAAACTATTTATTTCAGTAGCCTTGATTCACTGGTAATTACATTTTTTGCATTTACCTCTAAAATATAAGATTAGGGGAACCAACTAAACTGAACTAAAGTATTCTAGGAAAACAAAAACACTCAGAGACAAGAGAGGTTAATCTTTGTTTTTTTAAAAAGCAGAAAAAATAAGCAATTTGACAAACAAGCGTAGAGAAAAGCCATAAATCCTCAGCCACAACATGGACGAGAACCATCTACCAGCCTGCATGGTATTTATAAAAACTTGAACAGACAAATGGTAGAAAATCAAAGCTGAAAGAGTAACAAAGTGAAGCATTCCTAAATACTACAAGCCCCAAGCACTGTCACATGCATCTATAGGCGCAGCTCTACGTCTGCTACTGACCAAAAGGATGTTTGTGCTCCAGTTCAATTCAATACATTTGCACATTTGACACTTTTCATTTGAGTTGTTTTGTGAATATTTGTTAAACAATTGTAGATAGTACATTTCCAAACATGAGAACCTAAATCCAACAAAATCAAAGTTTTGCCGTTTTCATGCAGGAATACCTGGAATAAGTGACATTCTAATCAAGCTGAACATGCATTTGAATGTGGTGTAACTAGGGCTAAGGCAATAGACTGATTCAGTTTTTCTTGTGTTGTGTAAACGTAGTGACTGGTAGACTCCTGATTGTTTCTTGTTCCCATGTGAAGTGTACTGGCATGCTATGATTAGTCAAAATGTCTGTCATTCACCCTATAATGTTAATATGAGCTGCAGCTTTGCAGTGTAGTTTATACATAAAAGGCTTTTAATTTTGGAGAATATCCCATAATTTACACATGAGATGTTGCCACAGTGACCCTCTCTGTGCACTGTACTCGGATACCAAGAGGTTTCACTCCCACAAGACAAGAGTAAAAAAAAGGTTTATTATATATTAAATTATGTTGTATTATTTTAACAAGTTGAATTCTGTCTGAAACGTTTCTAATATTTATGGAAACTGTTTAGGCATCTTATAATATTTTTTATCATTTCATAAATGATTAAAATATCTGCATAAATTAAAAAGACCAGCCATTTGTCCAGTTGGTGAGACTGTTTGTAGTCCACAACATCAGCATTTCAAAACAATAAATATATATATATTTTTTTTTACATAGTTTTTTCCTATTGCATGAAATCCAGATCTTCAACTTGATTTATTTACATTTATCTATTTAGCAATAAATATTAGGCATTTGATCTGTATACAGATATTACAAAATATCCCACACTGTAATAAACTTAAAGACGCCATACAAAAGTATGTAATAAGAAGAATATACAAATTATAAAAGTTATGACAAGACCAGTGGCTTGTGTAGATAATAATAATAATAGTATAAGTACATGCATGCCTTGTGTTCTGCAGATGCATGCATGAGCTCATCCACACACCAAATGTGTAAACTGTGTGTAGAGAGAGACTCACTGTGAGCTGCCCATCAGAAACATGTAAAACAAGACCTAAAGCAGGAGACAGGGCTGCAATGGAGCCTGTAAACAAGGGGCTCACTCTGTATAAAACACAGGAAATCAGACACACCTCTCCTGTCCTCTTCAGGGCAAATCAAGTGTTTGACCTCAAAAGACTTTAGGTTTGGTCAAATATAATAACCACTTTTTAGAGCTGCAATAAAAGAAATTAAATATTGAGTAAAGAAGGCATATTTAGAGAGAATTAAAATTCTATTTCATATTAAGAGGCAAAAAGATAATGATTAAGTAAATATTTCACTTGTGTAGTGTATCTGTAGCATGTTTCAGCCCTGTGCACTAGATGATTTATAAATACAGTATCTGTTTTCACTGAACAACTTTAAACACCATAGGGTGCTTTCCCTTGGGATTAATTCTCAGTTTCAGTTGAAGAGTAAAGTTGAGTGTCAATGTCATTTTCTCATCCTGACTGATACTATATACAATATATTTATCTTAGTGTAAAAGCTTCAATGGATCGAAATGATAAGAAAATACAAAACGGTACAAAAGGTGCAGCAATTGACATGGCTTGAAACTGTAAAAAAAACAACCAAAAAAAACTATTATCTCGCTTTGAAAACAGGACACTTCCTGTTTTTTTTTTTTTTTTTTTGAGTTAGAGTTGTTCAGTTGTTTTTTTTTTGCGGCTTATTTGGTGGGTATTGGTAGCTAAATTGGTTTGGGAGTAGTTTGTAGTGTGAAAACCAATAACTGTAAATGTTAGAGGAGTACAAAGTATGTTTTTGTCATTGTCCAGCTTCAGGCTTTCACCCCCAAAAAACTACAAGCACTGCTCATCATGAATAATAATATAAAAAAAACATTACAATGAAAGTCTAAACTGGCCACGTGTCTGTCACAGTCTGTGTTTAACCCACGTTCCCTGAAGGTAGAAGCAATAAAACAGCACAGCCACAACCAAAGAGCCTGTGGCATGAGAATGGTGCATGGCTACATGAACATGATTTGAAATAAGACTGTCTAGTTTCAGTTCCATATGAATGGGAAAATATCCAAAGGTCAAAAGTAGATCCTCCAGATTAGTTCAGGAGTGTGATGACGTTCTGATACTTCACGTCCTCAAGAGGCCACCCCTCTTTTTTCAGTTCCTGCTCTGGCCTTTGGAGTACTTCCTGTCTGGTGACTCCTCAGTGGAAGGCCAGTGTCCCCCACATGTAGGCAACCTGTAAACATGTTGTATTCTGTATATGGCAGTATGCTCTGGTCTAAGGCTCATCCTCTCCAGTGGACACAGCCAGTCTCATGGCTACAGACAGGTGGTCTGTGAGACCTGCCAGCTGAGTCACGAAGCTGAACTCCTCCAGCTCCTGCATGCACACACAAACAACATAGAAGTTAATGTAATATTATATAATAGATTATTTATTGGAATAGAAACAACAAGGTATACTATACACATAGCAGCTTAACAACACAGCTTGCTGCTTTTCTTCTGTAATATGTATACTACTCTTCGCCACTAGATGGAGGTGTACGTAAGTAAGAACATAGTAGGAGCTCAGTAAATGGTGAGTTCAAACTTACGCCCTCAGATAAACGTGGCATGTGTCATGTGTACTGTGTGTACACATGAGTGACAATTTCATAGTTCCTGCTTTTTGTTTTGCTTTGCAATGAAGCGTTCATGAGATAGTTGATGCCAGAGTTTAGTTGCTTCTAATTTGTGCAGTGTGTACCAGTTTCCAGTCCGGCTGCAGGCCTTCATCGCTGTAGAGGATGTAGTCGATGCGGCGGCCATTGCCCTTCAGGGGGATCTTCCTGCCCTTCTGACTGCTCCGGGGGCACTGGCTCTTACTGGGGGGGAACACCAGGTACTCCTTTCGGCCCTCTTCATTCTCCATCACTCTGATACAAACACACTGGACTGTTACATAACTATTCTCTGGCCTGTGGTCGTTTATATATTGAAGCTGGGAGCAGTGGACTGAAGTATTAAACAGCTGACAGAAATTTGGGGGCCTCGAGCAAGAAGCCTTACATGGGCCACACTCTTCTATATACTTGGGCCCTGTGACAGCAGAGGGCCCCCATTGGTTTTTTTGTCAAAATGCGGCCAACAGTTAAGACAAACATCTGTGTCATGCAGTGTGCTAAAATATCCTGACATATTTACCATTGCAGGTAACATAAGGTCTCTGTAACTAAGCAAGATGAGCTGTATGTATCATGATGACAGCACCCGGATCTCATCCTGCAACAATGCATTTTTGTCTTTTAGCTTTCTGCTAACGTGGCTCTTCTTTTACTCACTGGACTGAGGCCCAGAGCAACTTCATGAGGAATTTTATTGACCTCACCCTCCACTAGGGGGCAGTCATAGTACTATACAGATGGAAAATACTACTACCTAATAATTATATATAATGCAAACGTTAGGATGTTGAGTAACAGGTAGCAGATATACTTACTTTTGTAAACTTTCAGGTGAGCTGACCTCATCATCATAAAGGCCACTTGGATCCAGCAGAGTCCCTGTGAGACAAAAAGACAAACTTACTTTTAAGACAGGTGAATGTCTTGATAATTTTACCATGCTGTCAGTGGAAATAAGAGCAACTTAATTTAATACATTCTTGATTAGCACCATTGAAAATAATGATTGTCTCAATTCTGATTTAAATGCCATTCATCGTCAAGAATCACTTTCATCAGGACTCAGCAGGAACCGCCTTTGACAACAATTGAGTGCAATCAAGAGCTAATTAGATTACAGCCACATTTGACGTTGTCCCCTTTCATATTTTGAGAACATCTGTAGTTCATATTTGTATGGGAAGCAAAATGATTCAGTGTTCACATGTGCAGAGATGTTGCTCCACTGCCCTTAAACACATGTTTTGAGAAGGGCTGGGTTTGTGGTTCACTGAAATGGTTTGTTAGTGCATGTTTGAGGGAAAGTTCACATCTTGTCTTTGCAAATATCTTAAACCATCAATTTTCCAAATCAAATTCTATGTTTCACTCAGCGCAACTTGTGTGCACTTGGTCTTTTTGGGAGGGATGGCAACATATAGGACCTGTACTTACCAGTCTGAATAACATATTACAATATCACAATTATACATAACTGACAAATAACAACCAGGCCCAGATCTAAGTGATTTAAGATATTTGAGGAGGTCTATGTAACAGAAGAAGTTCTCTCCCAGCTCCATCATCCCTGTTCACATAAACAAGGTCCTGTTAAAGCATTCATTGTCCTGTGCCAACACGGCTCCTAAAATACTGCTGCCCTAAAAACCTCTCATATCCAGAGCACAGCTTCAGAGTGACGTCATTAATGTCATGTGCCCACTCTCTACTTTTTTCAATCACACAGGAGTGCACATGTGGATTTTCAAGCTTTTGGAGGACATTACATTGACCTGCATTCATTTCCTGAAGACTGATCTTAATCTGAACTATAATCACCTACACCATAACCTATTTAAACCCATTTCTTAACTTCACACCGTGTTATTGATCTAATAAAAAAAGATTTACAGCATGGGGTAGGCAGGTCTTCATGAATTGAGTGTGCAAACAGATTAGCTCCCGCAATGTGACAAAAACCTGCCCACACATTTCACGCAATAGATGTTCATTTCAGCATGGATAAGATGGCACAGAAGGTAAAAAAGATAGAGTGAGATGGTCTCTAAATAACGCATGAAACAGACATATCTGTATACTTATTTATAATGCAAATGGCTGCTGCTACACCATACTAAACCTGCTCATTTGTGCAGATGTGTCTGTGTTCTTACCCAGAGCCCATGGTTTGTCCTCACCAGGCCCCAGGCGGCAGGGGTCTCTGTACTGAGTAAAAAGTGCGTGCTGCTGCTCCAGCTTGTCCTCTGGAAACACAAAGAATGAACAATCAGCCTGAGGATTACTCAACCCTCACACGGGTACAAGAGCAACCCAAACACACTCATAACACGGCTGTAGGTTATGGCTACAGCTAGGAGATAGGAGCTCTGTTGGGAAGATATTAAAAGTCTTATATTATGTAAAATTTACTCTTGTGAGCTTTTAGTCATATTACAATATTGTTACCTCAACAAAAACATACCTGGAGTTGTGTTTGTTGTTGGTTGAGTAATTCTTTAGTCGAGGAGTCATCAAACTAAGGCCCGCAGGCCAACTCTGGCCCTCCATGCCCCTTTGACCGGCCCCCCAGCCCCTCTGCCCCCCACCACTTGAACTGGCCCTATGAGGCAATCCTCAAAAGTTGTCATGGCCTATTTTTTTTTATTAGTTTCTGGCATAATAACACACCAGCATCATGTATTTTGTAGATTTCCCCAACCCCCCCAGTAAAACCAACCAGTTTCCTGATTATTGATACTTTGCAGCTCATGTCATCAACATTCCCTAAGGATGTGATGCAAATTTTTTACACTTAGTGGAAAATGTATAAAAATATAAAAAATATCATATGCTATAGTTCACTTTAAGCCTTCAGTTGAATCTAGACTGTTAATGCTTGAACCTGAAGAGCAGTTGTCAAAATTAAGGTCTCCCAGGACGACGTCGAAGGCCACAAGATCTTCCAGGACTTTCTCTCCTTCAGGAGGCTGAGAAGACGCCTGCCGAAACTCCGCCCCCCACTGCAGCAACAGGTCCAGCTGCTCACACCTGACTGCTGCATCACCTGCATATGCACAAGTGAACAACACAAAATATTAAATACAGTAAGAGTTTGATACAAATCTCATCATCAGTCAGTCGTGCCATGACTCATTTGATATTTGCTTGATGGTATTTTTGTAATGTGAACCCATCCATATGTTCACCTCATGATGAGTCACAGTACAATAGTAAGGTCTGGAGCCAATCATGAAATCGCAATATTGATGCAAAATGATCTAAGAAAAGAGACGACGCTTAGTGCTATGCCATGAAGTTCCTCCCTGCCAAAATCAGTGCATCACCACTTTAAAAAAAAAAAAATCTAAGAACGAAGTAAAGAGCAGTGGCTATTTATTTATTTTTGGAGCAATTACATCTTGAATGCAGGAGAATAAAGTCTCTAAAAATGTCCAGTGGGTAAATTAGAAGGGAACACAATTATAACAAGGCAAAAATATCCTAAAAGCTGATTTTGCATAAAGCATCTCCTTTAATCATACTGCCTGTGCTTTGTTCTTTTATCACACTGAAACATATTGAATCATTCTAAGTACTTAATGAACAGATGCACCATAAACACACCGTCCCCACTGTTTCCCATAACAACACTCAAGCTGTGGAGCTCTGATGCTGTTTTATTTAGTGCATCATATGAGGCCATGTTTGGCTGATATGTGTCTGTGCTGTCTTTGTCTCTACGAGTGGATCGACGATGCTTTAAAATAAGGTTCCTTGGTAAAGTATTTATAGTACGTTTATAAGCACAAAAAGCATATATAATTATCAACAAATTACAAGTTAAACCTAATTAATACATGAACAAAACAGACTGACACTTTATTAATAAATGAATACATCAGAATTTTATAATTATTGATTTCAGTGGGTCCCCAGATGATATGGAGAATTTTGAATGAATGCAATAGGCTCATCGTCACTAAGAGTTTATGCATAATGAATAGTGTTTATTAATGGCTTTACGAAGGAACTTTAATTTAAAGCATTACTGGTGGATCCAATAAAGAGGCGCTGCAGACAGGAGTGAAGGTGACAGTGGGGAGAGAGAGGGAGGAAGGGAGAGCAGAGGAGAGAGAGAGAGAGGGAGAGACGAAGAGTTAAATGGAGAGGGAGAAAGAGACAGGGGAGAGAGGTAGGGACAGTAGAGAGAAAGAAAGAGAGAGAAAGAGAGAGTGGCAGTGGAGAGAGAAACAGAGAGAGAGAGTAGAGAGGCAGGGAGGCAGTAGGGAGAGAGAGAGAGAGAGAGATAGACAGAGAACGAGAGGGAGGAACACAGACAAAGAGAGAAGAGAGACAGTGGGGAGACAGACAGAAACAGAGAGGAGAGGAAAGAGTAGAGAGTAAGAAAGAGAGAGGAAGGCAGTGGAGAGAGAGACAGAGAGAAAACGAGAGCAAGGGCGAGAGAGTGACAGAGACAGGGGAGAGACAGACAGATCGAGAGAGAGGAAGAGAGAGAGAAGAGAGAGACAGCGGAGAAAGAGAAACATACACAGAGAGAGGGAGGGCAGACTATAGAGACAAGAGAGAGACAGACAGAGAGAGATAGAGAGGGAGGGAAAATAGAGAGAAAGAGAGAGAGTAGAGATATAGACAGTGGAGAGAAAGTCGAGAGAGGGAGAGAGGAGAGAGAGATGTAGAGATGTTTGCGCTCGTGTGTGTGTATGTGTGTGTGGGTGGTGGTAGGTTTGATTGGAGTGGCTGCAGTTCTTGGACCACTCAGACGTGCCTTGGAGCTGCCGTGGGTGTCTTTCTCTACAGTAGCTTTTGGACTCTTTCTGTGTGTGAAAAGGAATGGGAGGGATGCTAACAAAAGCCTAGAATTAACTGTCCTTGAGTTAAGTGTGTAATGCTCATGTAGTTCTTCACTGCTCCACCGGCAATACAGGAAAAAAAACAAAAAGCAGCTGGCTGTGGGTGTGTATGTGCTGTTCAACTGTATCTACAGGTGGTTTAAAGATACGCTACTGTAAGACACGATATCAGTGATTTTATTATATTTATCTTATTTATATGCAGTGACGGGAATAACCGTTACCAACACGCTGTTACTGCGCATTACTGAGCTACTCACTGAAGCTGTCGTCTGAGAGATAACCGCCTAAGTAATGAAGACTGGCTGATGATTTGTATTCTTGTTTTTAATGTATTGTTTCTAATGGGGTTTTAGTTCTTTAAGGCTGCAGTATTCACTGTTGTCACTTTTCCAGATGTGTAAATATGTGAATGAATAGGCTGACTCACTGTCAAACTAAACCTGTTTACCTTTACCTGTTGGTACTGATAAAATAAATTTGAATCTTGAGGGTTTGTAACTTATAATTTTGGCTTCTTTTATCAACTTTTTGACTCAGATTGACCACAGTTTCTGCATTAGAGCCTGTTTTTGATATACCCCTATATAGCCAATAGAGATTATCAATAGGTAGGCCTGGTTTATCAAAAGGAAAGGATCAAAGTAATGGCGACATAGATAAGATATATCTACATAAGAAGTGTATCTTTCATTATGCAGCATGAAACTATGCGCCCTATAACAGTTGTCTCTGTATATTTTTGGCAGTTTTTTAGAATAAATTATATCTGGGCAAGTGCAAAAACCACTCCAGTCTTACATTGGTGTTTGTGTAACAAATAAATCAAAAGTTTTTCTGGGTCAAAGACCGCAGTCTAGTAAAATTGTGATACCTACTTTTTCTTGAGGTGTACATCTATCACATATCATAACGCAAACATACAAATCATGTACTGCCCGCTCTGAAAAGCCAGGGCTTTTTCACAGTTTTGCCCCACATACTACCACCCCACCTCCCCTGCCCTGGTCCCTAAGGCTTTCTGGTGTATCTTTAGAAATCGCCCTGGCCTTGCTATATTTAGTCATGCCAGAAGCGTAGGAGGAGCCTCGAAATAGCCAAACGAAATGGCGAGATGTGTCACGGGTAAAAAATGAGCGAGGCTTCGACCGGAGGCTTTAAATAGGGCTGTGACGCCTTAAGCAGCGTCAGGCCGTCGCCATGGGAACAGGACCAGGACATGTGGATGCGCCCTGTTCTGCAGCAACTATTGTTTGACCTAAGAAACACAGCCATGATAGGGCAGACAGGAGCCCATTCTACTGCTAACCCACTCTCAATGCCTGCAATTAGAATTATGTCTCTCTCCTCTCCTCGTCATCGTTTATCCTAACATTTTCCATAATGTTCTATAAAGCCAAAGACAAATAATATCATAAAATGCTTCATTGAATCATTGATACATTTTGTCCTTTGACCACAACAAACAGAAATAGACCACAATAATTACTATTATCGACTTATCGTTCAGTACAAGATAGATAGAAACAATATAATACCAACGTTTATCAGGGAGACTTTTTCTTTATACTAGTGGGAACATTTTGCTTATTTTTCTGTTCTTCTTTTATATTTGAGCTGTATGAGTTGAATAAATAATTTCTATGACTCATTACAGATACAGACTAACTACTAAGCTCATATATTTTTTTAGAATACTTTTTAGGAATCATTTTGTTTATGGTTTCAATATTATCATTCATCATCTATATTTAGTTTAACAATATATTGCAATTCAAAATTTGTTATCGTGACAGCCTAGACAGAAAAACATTCAGTGTTTGTGTTTTGCTTTATCAATGGGATGAAGTGTGTCAGAGCAGATTTAAAATTTCTATGTTGTTGTGAGATGGCACTGTACCTTCTATGGCATGGAGATGTGTGCAGGTGAGGTATCCCACAATCCTTTGCTCCTGATGAGAGGTGCCCACGTGGACCTGTAATATACAAACACAGAAATCACATGGGATTGGTGCCATTGTCAGGTCAGTCTGTAAGAACAGGGAGAGGAAGGTGCAGGCTGGAGATCCCTTTTGGGAGCACTAATGAATCACTGAGACCTGAGTGTGAATTAGAACTCACACAAGACTGAATGAGATGTGCTGTAATAGGCCTTTAATGGGAGTCAATAAAGATCTATGGAGGAGGATCATTGATGAGATTGAGTCTGTGATTTGGTTGCCTGACCAGCCAGCCCCTTCTACATTCTGTTTGAATCCAGAAGGGACTGGAGCTGGACAATAGAGGGTGAAAATCTTCTATCCTAACTTGAGACGATCCAACCACAGCTGTTAATTTGTAGCACATGTCTCTCAAGTGCGGTAGTCATTTCATCAAAATTCTCGCATCATTGAGAACAGTGTGAAAAATTCCTCAGTTGTCCAGGTAGAATCCTAGCCTGATTCATCTTCGTGGAAACCGTCTGACCTCGCAGCATTAGAATTCATTCGCTCGACGGTAGGTGTTTTTTTATTTATTTAACCAATCTCTCATTAGTTAATCCGCCTGTTACTCACGCACTCTGAAATCGGGGAGACAGGATATGAATCATCTTTGTAAAGTTTTGTCAAAGCGTGTGGTTCTGACATAAGTGGTATGGAGCAATCTAATGACACATATTTGGAATTTGGGATAATACCATTAAAATTATAAAATGTCAATAAAAAAAAAGTAATGAATGAATCAAAATTTTTGAGGTAGCTTATGCACTGAATACAGTTGCAGTTGGTTCTTGGTTCATTTGAGCTTCTACCTAAAGATCTTTTGTGTTACATGCTATAGAAGTGTGCACACGGTGAACAGAAGCTCCTTTGACATGTCTGACTGCTGGGGTCATATTCAGACATGCATTAGCACTTTACAGTTGCTCTTGTGAGATGAATTATATATGCAGTGTGTCTAGTGAAAGTAAAACTACCAGGTGGGTCTCAGTCAGGATTCACTTCAGTATGTTTTTTGAGCATATACTTACAAGAGGGAAAAACCAAACCAGCAAAGCATTTCAGATATACTCATTTATTTACTGCAGCTATGGAGGACTGGTGTGCTTATTACTCATCCAGGTTATTTACATGGCTATATATAAGGTACTATTATTATTTTTTTAAAATCAGGATTAATTGTATAGGATAATTTTTTTCACATGAAGTCAGAAACATATTTTTGCTATGTCCAGTTGTAATTCTACTTAAGTAACCAAATTGACCAGTCTCTCATTTACACTTCAAAACATAAAATGAAAAAAATAAATAAAAATCCTTCCAGGCTTTGTGTGGGTAATGCAACAGGTTTTGACATTTGAGGCATTTTGTTCTAGAGTTGTAGATAAACTGTGAGAGAGGCTGACATTTCACATTTTAAAAGTGCACTCACACAGGGAACTCTGGGAAAAGGCTCAAGGAACAAAAACTGACACAACACACGACTAACCAGCGCCTGACCACATGGATGACAGGATGAGTTTTAAGCCATGTTAGAATGTTGCTACCTCATCAAACACATACTTGGAGTTGTGTTTTGTTTCATTCACGCATGTTTGAGAAATCCTGGTTTACTAGTATTAGTCTGTGTACATCCCCAAAGCTCAAAATGATCTACCACTACATGACACCTTGTGATGTCATATAGTGGTAGTTTTCAAGTTAACAGCCACATTTTACTTTTAGTTCTGTACAGATTGGCAATTCCAGGAAGCCTGATTCAGCCACTTTCACTTTGTGGAAACTGTCTGACATCGCAGCATTAGAATTCATTTGCTCGATACTTTTTAAAAATTTAACCAATCTCTGCTATTTGGTCATGACGTATGTAATGCGCTGCTAACAGGGCTAACTAGTATATTAAGCTTTTCCCAAATTCCATAGGAAGAAGGGCAATAACGTCTTTCCCCTTGATAAAATTCTCTTTGTTTCGGCTTTAAATAATTGATGTCGGGAATCGTTGCCAACACAGAATGTATGGCTCTTTGCTCTTTGCCTGAACTCGCACTTCCGGGGTTCTTGCAAACCATCTAGTGTATTCTGATTCCTGACCAAGTCGCTGGAGAGAAATGAAACTGAGTGGAGGCATTAGGTGGCGCCAGCCTGGCTAAATTCCAGGGCTGAAATCCTCCAAATGATTCTAAAAAGATAGAAAGTTTATGGAGTTTAAAAACACAGTGGAGCACGTTCTGTATTGCCACATGACATCACAAGGTGGAACAGAGTGTTTCCTGTTTGAGAGAAGAACTCTATATAGTATGAAGGTTTTGTGGGTTAAGCATGTCCGAACTAAACTAAAACTTCAGGTGTGTTTGTGATAAAGAAACAACATTCTAACATAATAGATCAGACAATAGCGTAGGACGGGCCCTTTAAAACACCAACATTCAAAAAGGTAACTTTCCTTATTCACTGATTTCATCTTCCTGTATGTGACATTTTGATTTTCATTCAAAATATGTAACATTTAGCTTCATTAATTGCTTCAGCAGTCCTGATATTTTATCATTCTGAAACCCATGTTCAGACACCTCATAGAAGTAAATGACACAGAGTCAAACAAACAGCTAGTCTACCGCATACACACATCTGAAAATGTGAAACAGTAAAGCTAATAGTTGAACATAATGAAATCAGACTCAGACTGATGTAGTTATTATCTGTTGTTTGTGTTACAATAGAGCTGCAGTAACAATGACAATGCTTAGTGCATCTTTTCACATTATTTGCATGGTTTTGTGCTGGCCTGAATCCATCTGGAGAGAGCCCACTGTGTAAAACTGTGCCAACTGCTACAGAATTCAGAAGATACAGAAGTCCTATCTCTTGTCTTATAATGTACAATATAATAAGTAAAAAGCAGTCATGCAATTAAAGGTCCTATATTACACAAAATGGATTCTTGTGAGCTTGAAGACGTGATAATGTTGGTACCTCATCAAATATACCCGGAGTTGTATTTTGTTTCATGTACATATGTTTAACACACAAACCCTGCTATTTAGGTTGAGTTCTTCGCTTAAACAAACAAACAAACAAACAAAAACAAAACAAAACAAAAAACACTTCACCCTGTGAGGTCATGTACTAATACAGGCAGTACTCCTCTGTGTTTTTAAACCATGGATCTATAATAATAACTGGATAAGGCATTCCCCCTCTTTCCCAGCTCGAGACCGACTAGTGCCCGCTCCATTAGTACTAGCCAGGCTGGCGCCACTTAGTGACTCTGCTCAATTTCATTTCTCTCCAGCAACTAGGTCAGGAATCAAAATATAATAGACAGTTCGCAAAAACCCTGGAAGTGCAAGTTCGGGCACCGGCCAATCAGTGAAGAGTCATATATTCTGTGTTGTCAACGATTCCCGCGATTGAGGATTTAAAGCCAGAATAAAGAGAATGTTTAGTGAATTTTATCAAGGGGAAATACATTATTGCCCTTTTTCCTATGGGATTTGGGAAAAGCTTAATATACCAGTTAGCCCTGTTAGTGGTGCATTACACACATGACAAGCAAATAGCAGCGATTGGTTAAATGATAAAAAAAAACTTCTACCGTCGAGCGAACGAATTCTAACACTGCAAGGTCAGACAGTTTCTACGAAGTGAAACCGGCTGATGAATCATGCTACACTGGTACTGCAGCTCCTGGGAGCTTGGGCCCAGAAAGAATTCCCCCATAGAAGCACAATGCATTTTTGGGGAATTCAAACTGCCAGTGTTCGGCAGACAGGGCATCGACAACTTTCACAAAGGTCAGATTTTGTAGGGATTCTATTCTGTTTTCACAACATAAGCTTTTAAAAAATTTTAATCCTCGAAGCGCCTAAAATGTAGCTTTGTAAGAGCAAGCCTAGCCCCTCTTTGAGCCCAAGATAGCTCCACTCTAGCAGCTCTCGCTCTGATTGGCCCAAACGCTCCACACCGTGCACGTTACAGACATCACACGGGTGGAAGGTCCCCCTATTGAGGAAGTAAATGCGGAAGTGAACTTTTTTTGGGCCCATGCACCACTGAGCACAGACCATTGAAAACAATATGGCATCTTGGACTCATCTTCCAGATTTTATTATAGTTTATTGTTTTAAACTCCATACACCTTCAGTAGAATCATTTGGATAACTGCAGCCTGGGAAATGCCAATCTCTACTGAACAAAAGGTAAAAGGTAGCTGTTAGCCTGAAAACTACTACTTCATGGCATCACAAGATGGAACAGAGCATTCGGAGATGTAGAGAGACTAATAATAAATGATTACTCAAACAAGTGTGGAAACAGCAGTATAACACAGATCTGAAAATATTGTAATAAGGGCCCTTTAACACAGCAATAAACAAGTCTTATTTTAACATGAAACATGCCCTGTATGATATATAAGGCTCAGATACAGCATGTATATAATGTATGTAAATAGGCAGGGAATCGGAGTCTAGATCCAATCAGAGAATGGCGTCAGAGAGGCAGAGGTTTGCAGTGAGAGAGCAGAGAGAGGCCAGACTGACGAGGAGTGTGGAGGAGGCTCTGATTGTGGCTGAGTTTAAAGTGGAACGCATCGGACTCAAGAGCATTATAATAGGACAGAGCGGAGCAGAGGTATTCAGTGCCAGTGGTTATATTCTTAAGACAGAAAATCAATGATACTTGTTCAGCCAGTTGTTTGCTTTTTAAAGGTGCACTACGTACCTTTTTGGTTGAACGTCCGTCACCTACTTGTTTCTATAGATATGTCACTGCTCTGCCTGAAATGTTCTACAGTATGACATTAAACAGCTTGCCTTTCCACAGATCTAACCTGTATCTTGGTCTGGTTTGGTCTCCATGAAGATAGAAAGGTTTAATACCATACCGTGAAACATTTCAGATGAAGCAATAAGGTTTTAAGGTCCGCAGCATGTAGCATTTATGTAAACAAAATGGTCCACAAATACACTGTAGTACTGAGTTAAATTTATTGAAGA